CATGTGACATTTAGATACACATGGGTTGGGAAATAGTTCATTTGAAATTCTTACCTCCCTGGCCACATACACAGTGTTCTAGACACTGTCACAAAAAGATACACAGCGCACCTAAGGTGTTAAGGGATTGACTTAGAGAAGGGTTCTAATACTAAATATCAAGGAGAGTAACTCCAATGGTAGTTTTCAACATTGTTTTCATAATATTTTAGTAGCAGAAACATTCAATAGATATTTCTAAAGAATTTGGGCAGAAATGATATTTGATCACATTTATGATATTATCTCACTAATCTTACTAATATTATAAATGTGAAAGTTTAGATGGATGGATGTTTGTTAGAGTTTGTAGCCTAAAAGGCTGAACGGATTTCGATGAAATTTGGCATTGACGTAGAAGATAGTCTGGAAGAACACATAGGCTATTCACTTTTGTTTTTTTTTCAATTCCACGCGGACGCAGTCGCGGGCAAAAGCTAGTAGATTATAACTTTATAACTAAACTTACAGACGCAACAGCAAGCAAATCACTGACAAAAGAGTTTAATTGAAATATCAGTTCTTTGGACTTCTTGCTTTTTTAATTCACAGAAAAATGCTACATTTATATTGATCTAACAATTATTAAAAAAAAAAAAAGAACTGATGACAACATTGAGGTGTTATATAATAAATATGTTTGTGGGCAAAACTTTTTTCATTATAATTACATTCTTCTTCTTGAAGGAAGTCTTTGTTGATGCACTTCATACTTAATACATACTTCTTATATAATCTACGTTTTGTAATCTTTACTCAATATTTATTTATACCCTAAGTCGGAACCAAACTCTTTTTGTTCTTTTCTTAATTTTTTAATACAGGTAGAAAAGCTGACAACAATGAAACGCAAAGCCTCAGAAGCTATCAACGAAGAGGTGCAAGCCGCTTATGTTTGCAAGAAGCGGCTCGATCACCTCAAGGAGCAAGCTGAAGCCTTACAGGATCCCGTTGCTGCTCAAGTAACTTATATTTTTCTTACACTTTACTCTGCATATTGTTGAAGGTCTACCATGGATGTCAAAAATAGGAATATTTCAGGAGAGAAAGAACTGCATAATTTTGTAAAGATACTATACTAGTATACTGTTTCATCAGCCCTTTATATGTCCTCACTGAGGGGCTCGGTGCCTACCTCAAGTTAGAGTGCCATAGTCAACCACGCTGCCCAATGCGGGTTGATTTCACACATATCTTTGAATTTCTCCGTAGATATGTGCATCACGATGTTTTCCTTCATAGTAAGAACGTGGGGTGAACTATGTACATCCAAAATTAAAAAAAAAAAAACAAAAATTACATTGGTACAAGCGGGATTCGAACCCAAGACCTGTAGATAACAAGTCAAGTGTTTAAAACCCTGATCCACCGACACTAATACATTGTTTGGGTATACTTAATTATAGTTATACTAGCTTTCACCCGCGACTCCGTCCGCATTTAATTAAAAAAAAAACAAAGCAAGTATCCTATGTGTTCTTCCAGACTACACTCTACATCCATGCCAAATTTCATTGAGATACGTTCAACCTTAAAAGGCTACAAACTCTTAACATCAAAATTTTCGCATTTATAATATTTATAAGATTTAACATAGAGTATGTATTTCTGATAGTCTGAAGTGTTGCGTCTTTCGATTTTCTAGAGAATGACATCTAAATAGCCAAAAAGTAACTTCCTTGGTATTAAAACGCAGACGAAGTCGCGGGCAACAGCTGGTGCTTTATAATTAACGATTCTCTAAGGGGAAAAGATGATTGATACCCATTTTATAAGGTATTATATGAAATGTTACAGACTTCTCTGAACCAATGGCGCAAGGTTCGCTTGGACCGAATGTTGGTGGACTACTTCCTGAGGAACGGTTACTATGACTCCGCTACCAAGTTGGCGGACGCTAAGGATCTGCGCGACCTCACTAACGTTGGTAAGCAATTTGATGATTTTGTATTGTATATTAACTTATATATGTATATTTGAGAAGTTTTTATATGTGTTGTCAGCTCACCAAAATCAAAATCATCAATATTTCCTCAAAATCTCCCTTAATTTTGGGTAAATGTAAATTTCAAACTATTAAAGAACAAAAAAGACAGCTTCTGCTAGGGAAGGGATGGGAAAAAAATATTTGAATTAATATGTGAAGGGTAAATGTATCCCCTTCCCCCTTACCCTTAAGATAGGAATGCATCTGTGAATGTAGATGTTCATAGTCAATGGTCGCTATTTTAGCGAATTAAGTGTTCGCTTGCTCGTTTGCCACCTTACACTGGCTGGAATCGGTAGACTGAGTAAAGCGTTTCGGAAATACGTTACGTTACGTTGTTACGATTGTAATTGGCTAAGCGTATATTAGAACGGTGTAAGTAGCATTGAATGAATGAGTATGTATTTATTGCCACAAAATAGAAATTACATACAAGGACTTATTCTAAAGAAAACAATCGTGGCAAAAAGTAGCCAGCTCAGTATGCAGGACTAAGCCGTTCCTGCGCCGATTTTCAGCTGGCTCCTTCGCACTCAAGTAACATATAGCTTAATTATTAGGGTAACCGGCCGCACTAATTACATACCTATACAGAAATAAAAAATACACTTTTAAAAAGAAAAAAAATCACATCAAACAAAAATGGGACATCATAAAAAGAAAAAAATATATATTAATTAATAGAAACATTCATACTAAATTGAAAGTAGGATGCACATACTGCATTTATAACCATCTTAACACATTTTTAACAAAAACAATTGTTGTTAAAAAAAACAATTGTTGAATTGGTGTGGTGTGTGTCAGACATCTACCAGGCGGCGGCGCAGGTGGAGCGCGAGCTGGCGGCGCGGCGCACGGCGCGCGGCCTGCAGTGGTGCGCCGACAACAAGTCCAAGCTGCGCAAGATCAACTCCACCATGGAGTTTAATATACGCATACAGGTCGTTTTAACATATTTACAATGTTTTGTCACAGTGGTAGAGTTTTAACATCTTCGCAATGTAGTCTCGCCCCCAGCAATACCTCACATAGAAAACAGGCGTGTAGTGGGAAGCAATTCCGAGTACAATCTGATGAGTATGGTGCTGGAGACCCAACTTTATCCCTTTCTCTTCCTTTTTTATAAGAAAAGGATGGGAAGGGAATGTGTACATTTTTTTAATTCTTGCTACTTTTTTGTATCCTTCATTATTTATTATTAGTTCCTTCAATGATTTAGCTCCTATGCCTATGAATTTTACGTCCTGGAATGGGTAACGTTAGTTTATATTTAATATTGCATATGTATGTATAGGAGTTCATAGAACTGGTCAGAGCTGAGCGGCGGCTGGAAGCTGTGCGTTACGCCAAGAAGCACTTCTCCTCGTACGAAGAGGGCCAACTCCGAGATATCCAGCACTGTATGGGCATGCTGGCCTTCCCCAGCGACACGGGTAATTACATTACACACTATGCCAGTACAGTTAAACATAACGCTATATAACTGGAATGGATTTTAACTGGCACTATGTGAAACTGGCCTCAATCCATATGTTTGGCTTGTGATACTATAACTATAATTTACAAGTATAAAGGAACAAAAAATACTAATTTGCCTTCGAAGTACATATGAGCCAAAGCCAAACAAAAAAGGGTATTTCCTATCACATGTCATAAAATGTATGTACTGTATAGTTTAGTGTAGGTACCTACATATTTTTATTTAAATTATGAACAATTTAATCATAATTTATCTTAGTTTTTGATATATTTAAGGTATGTATCCAAAATGTATAAGCAAAGTGTGAACCAATAATATTATTTAGCTATAGTTAAATCAATGC